GTTATTTTGTAAAAGAGTCCTCAACATTGATACACTTGGCAATAGTGGAAGTGATGCTGTGTTTTGCTCATTGCACCCCATCAGGTGGTACATACTCTCTATTTATCCCTTTACTAGCGAGGTTCACTTTGATCCCTTGCTTACAGTGGTGTCTTACTCCTTCTTTTAATAATTAGCAAGTATTTAGGAGGGGGGATATTTTGAAACCAGCTAATATTGGTTCGATGTGTCTTACAATTAGATTATAAACTCTTTAAGAGACTTCCATATTCTAAGTGACCAACACATTAGGAGTTCAAAGTACACTTTTTGATTGAGATTCACGTATTTATTTTTATAGGGTACAGAACACATATGTCTTCTTTTGGGCTCATGGGTTTAAAATGTACATATCTTTAAAATGTGCAGTCTGATGGAGGAAGGAGAACTTATTTCTGTCAATTAGAATACGTATTCATTTGGTCTGAGAGCTCTTTGATTTTTTTTATAGCTGATGTTTAATAGAAGATTAATTCATACCTGAAAAGTGTTCATTATTTTGTATTTTTTATTCAGTATTTTTTATAGACTCAGAAATTTCCTAAATAAATTCTTTATTTTGATTATTATTGCTGTACCACATATCCCAAAACTTAATGTTGTAAGGCAACAGTCATTTTGTTTGTTCGCTGTTTTGTGACTTAGAGATTCAGGGGGCAGGGGGTTAGATGGGCAGTTTGCCCTTGAAAACCCCTAAGGCTGCTGCAGTCCTCTGAAGTCTGGAAAGAGCCTGAGACTCAGTAGACTTTTAGATCCACCCCTGAGGGGAGACTTCAGGCAAGTCATTTTATTTTTCTAGGTTTCATTTTCCACAGATCATGAAATAAAATGGGCAAATTCTTCTGAGAACTCTTCCAGCTCAAAAGTTGAGTTTATGAAATGAAAAAATAATGTTTGGATATGAACAGCTACACATAAATCATTGTGCATATCTAAGGTCATCCTACAAGTAGAAAATGCTACTAAGTGAAAGGAGAACAGGAGGATTGAAATAAACATTTTTTGTGGTGAAACAGAAACGTATCTTGAATCAATTTTGCCACTAGAGGTCACCAGTGTACCATCTCAAAGAGAACAAATGGCATCAAGTCACTAGCACTGGCATCAAGTCACTAGCAATCCCCTCTCTATGGCCCCAGATGTTGGTCATGTTGTCTTTTAAAGTTTATTCTGATCTCCCAACAGCTGCCAGAGACATAAATTATGATGAGATGATCCCAGTTGTCGCTATAGGTGTGCCTAATGTTCTGTAAGTGTGAAGAGCCACGACTCGGACCATAAAGAAAATGACTGGCTTTTTTCCCTTCCCACTGGGCTGTGTTAAGAGGCAGTGAGGTAATTTGGTAGAAAGTCATGTGAGCTCTGAAGTGAAAAGGCACTGTGGAAATACTGTGGCACCCGCTATCGCAGCACAGACACATCTGCTTTTCATGAGAAAAAAAGGAAGGAGCCAGAACAGAAGGTTCATTCATTTGCTCATTCAGCCAGTATTTACAGACATGTATGAGGCACTGTGCTGCCAATTGGGTTATATGAATTAAGAATATCAGCTGGTTCTTCTTCAAGGAATTTAAGGCATCAGGTATAGGAGGCTTTCTGTTCAGATGCTCTTAGTACCCACAGGCCACCAAGCACTTGAATTCCCATGTCTGCAGGTGGTCACTTACAGCATGGCCAAGCCAGTGGTTTTTTAAAGTTGATGACATTTTGCTGAGGTGATGTTAAGAGTAGATTATGTACCTTTTACATAAAATCCAAAACTAAACCACAGACATGTGCCAGAAAAGTTAAAACGCTGAGTTGGATTGTGGCCAGTGATGCTTGTTAGAAAACATATGAAAACTTACTTTGAAATAAAACTCTTTAAGTGGAAGAAACAATGCCCTAAGCGAAATGAATGCCCTTAAACAGGAAGATCCATAGCACTGGCCTCTGAAGAAACTTCTGTGAGAAGAAAGAACTCCAGGATGCCTTTGAAGGGCATATCAATTTTCTCCCCAAATGAATATTACATCCTATTTTCTCATAAACTTGCTTCATGTAGAACATACCAAAAAGCCTACTTCAGATTCCAGGACTCACAATTCTACCATCAAGGATGAGTAGCAAGGAATTCTTGGGTTCTGTCAAGTTATTCAGCTCTTTCAATAACTTGAGGAGTTATTTCTTCTACAGCTTTAAGGCCATATCTGAGCAGGACAGGCAAGGCACCTGGCCCTTAGCAGCAAGGCATTCTCTTGTTTTCTTCCCTCATTAGAGAAGAGGAAGAAAGGGGGCCTGGACAAATCTTTGCTTCAAGTTGAGGAAGCCTTGATCTGCTTTTGCGGTGATAAGTGTTACTAATTACCCTGGCAATTAATAATTTTAACCATTTGTTTTCAAAACAAACTACAGACAGGCTTGTTCTGCCTTCTGATTGTTGCAAAGTTTGATGACATCTCGAAAAAGAAAGGGGGGGGCTACAAAATATAATGATGTATTTAAAAATGTGTTTACTGTAACTATGCCATTGACTTCTACTCATGTTTCTCCAATGCCAGATAGTGTAGTTTACTTCCTTTTTGACTGATACACATTCCACCATCACCTTATGAGACATTTGGCCCTATCTGTCCCATTTGTTTCCCTCGAGATAACTGTATAAAGGAGGAGGAAGGAAATTAGGAATCTCTCACGCACTAAAGAGGTTAGAGGTTTGAGGCAGTCTGCCAAGGGGCCTGAGTGTCACTGCCCATTCTTGCTGGTCTGCCAACAGCACATGGCCCTGCCTGGCCATTACCCATGCCGTTTCAGAAGCTGTGTTTGCAGAGAACAACTCTAAGGGACAAGGTCATGCCTTCTACTCTTCATAGAGACTGAAGAGTGAGCTTGCTTCCACTTGCCTTAAAAGCAAGAGCTCCTGTGAGCTAAGCGTTCCTCCCACATAACAGCCCTCTGTGTGTGCAGGTGCCCAGTCTGGGGGAGGGGGGCTGGGGGAGGGTGGGAAATGGAAGCAAATCTGCATGAAGCTCACGTGCTATGAGCCAGGAAGGACAGAGTCCTTGGACTTGGACATAGACATCTCGGATTTCCTCCCAGCATTCACAGAATCAAAGCGGGCTAACCTGTAAGCTTGGAAGTTGTGTAGAATCCCAGTTCCTGAGACAGTCTGACAGAGGAACTCTCCCAAGTGGATTATTTAGTGTAAATGATTTCCAGGAAACAGAAAACTACAAGGATTATGTCTGTGTATCTAAAGTAAGAAAATCCATCAGCAGCCCAGCATTTTAGAGCCACGCTAGCAACTCACATGCTTTATGTCATAAAATGTTAATTTCCTTGCCACCCTGACTCCTCTGCCCTTCCAAGAATCACTTTTGTCTTATTAAACCGAATCCCTTTTATGCTCCAAGAGCCTGATGATTAGTCTTGATTTTATAAAAATTAAGTGGAATAGGTACTCAGCTATGAAATGATTGATAATGGTAGATTCATGTGTAGAGAATCACAGAAACCTCAAATCATAAAAGCTAAAATGAAGTGGCTCGAAGATAACTAACCCAGGAAAGCGTTCAGATTTTATGGCAGGCAGGGAGCTAAGGAATGAACTGTCAGACACAAGCAAAGCATCAAAGGCTGACTCTTAAATATGGGGAACCAACTGCTAAAAGTGTTACTTGATAAATTCCCTAATGTTATTTTATACAATATTAGAGAAGCAGAATCAACTTTATCTCAGTCTCTCATCTGAGGAAGCAGAGGTGTATGGTAAAGTGACTCATCCCCCACAGCCTTAGGGTCAATTTCAAATATTTGAATACTTTATAGCATCTGGGCTTCCCAGATGGCTCCCTGGTGAAGAATCCATCTGCTAATGCAGGAGACTCGGGTTCGATTCCTGGGTCGGGAATATCCTCTGAAGAAGAAAATGGCAACTGATTCCAGTATTCTTGCCTTGGAAAATCCCATGGATGGCGGAGCCTGGCAGGCTACAGTCCATGGGGTCACAAGAGAGTCAGACACGACTGAGCAACTAAACAACTACAGCATCTAGCGCTAATGAACATTAAACTTTTAAATTAGTGACTATATGAAGAATTGAATGAATACATATAGGTTGAGTCAGAGCTTGAATCCGGATTTTCTCTTCTTCAGACCAGTGCTTGTTGCCCTGTTGATAGACCTGATTTTCCAAACCAGTCATTTGCATACCAGTGTTGCAATTTTTGCCACGTTAATCTAACCATTCAATTAACATCACTTTCAAACTTAGCTTTGTTCAAAACAATATCTGCAAATCGAGGATTAATTGTGTTATTCATATTTTTCTATTATTACAAAATACGTGTGTGTGTGGGGGTGTGTTCAGTCGCTCAATCATGTCTGACTCTTTGCAACCCCTTGGATTGTAGCCCACAAGGCTCCTCTGTCCATGGGGTTTTTCAAGCAAGAATACTAACGTGGATTGCCACTTCTTTCTCAAGGGGATCTTCCCAACTCCAAAACCACGTCCTGCATCGACAGGCAGATTCTTAACCACTGCACCACCTGGGAAGCCCCAAGAAAATACAGAACTATTTAAAAAGCTCATTGTTTTCAACCAGAGCTATAAGCAACAATCTTTGGGAAACATTGATTAGACAGTCTAGAGAAAAATAAGCATCAAGACTGCATATACTCATTCCTTAACTGTTTTCATTTTTGTTGATAAGTTCAAATCTTGATTCCATGGAGACCCTAAAATTCTGAACTTTCATTTGAGAAACACTAAAAACACACTGGTAATTTCTTACATTTTTCTCTATTGAACAAATGAATGAAATGATTCTCTTCAAATTAGCCAACTATTGGTTATTATTAGGAAATTATAATCTTCAGAAAAGTATACAAAAACAACTTAGTTTACCAAATAGCACTATAGCATACTATTAATTCTAGTCTTGAAATCAAGTTTCAACAAGCAGAATATATTCTTTACTCACCAAATTCAGGACAACACTCATTCTCCAATGAATTTAGTAACCTTTCAAGGGAAAAAAAAAGCAAAAAGGAAAATGTGAGTTCTTTTTTAGGAATGAGATCAAACACATTTTGCAAATTAATGAATGTAAAGTATGAGGAATACACCTGCTTACACTTGAAAGTTATCAAAATGTTCCATTTAGCATATTTCACTTTAAAATATCCACGGTATGTTTAGAACCCTCTAATTACTAAAAACAAGTTCAAAGTTTTTATGAGCTTGATGAGAGTATGTCAGACTAGAACATCAAAATGAACTTGGAAGTTTCTCTATATTATTATTTATCATTTCTTTCTCACACAATACTTTGCCTTGTAATGATAAATGATAGTTTCCAATTTAGAGTTCCCCATTCTCTATGAAGAATATTTTAATTTATGCTTTTATTTATATAGTTTATAATATATGCACATTCCAGATCACATGAATGGTCATCTTATGATCAGTTATTTCTATGCAATTTCAGTGGTCTCTACTGAATGTTTTCCTATTCAGAAGGGAATTTTGTGGCTATTTTAAAACGGTTTTTTAACTGAAAAATGTAATGCAAATGAAACAATATAACAAAAGTTCACTTCATATAAAGTTTGCCAAGGTTTCTATACCCTTTTTATATTCACTTGGATGTACTGTTTTTGTCATTTTTTGCCATTTCAAGATTTTTTTCCTGTTCTTTCAAGGACACATCTTAATTATCAGCAACATTATTTTATCCAGTTTGCAAACTTTTGTGAATGACATGTTGCTTCTGACATTATGGTTACCTTTTTGTATGCTATCTTCTTCAGATAATTTGTCTAAAGATTTCCTCTAAGTTCAAATTCTCTAGCAAGATACATGTTTGATACTGAAATTTTAAAAAGGTGAATGCTCTAGAATTACCATATCGTACTTATTAGTAATCATTTTCCTTCATTTTAAAATAGTTTTATCTTCCAAGGGTGTATCCAAAATAAAACCATAGGGGGGGTTTGGGGTCTGTTTTTTAAAATGTAGTTCTAAGTGTCTTCTTATCTACAAGTCTTCTTTCCATCCTTTTTTCTTCCAGTGCAATTTATTTGTTAAACAAAAGGACTTTGTTTTGTTTTTTCATGTTATTTGTTCTTGACTTGTTGCTGTTTTGTTCCATTATCAGATTTCGATGTTTATCCAGACAGTAGATTTAACACATTTCTCTGTTCTCTGTATTTCCTGTTAAATTGCTAGTTTGTGGGCTTGATCAGGTCAGGCTGCATTAAAAAAATTTATTTTTTCGAGACTATTTCATTGGTGGTGCAGTCTTCTTACACCACGAAAGTAAATGCTATCTGCCAGGTTCTCTGTGTATTGTTAATAATATTGGTGCCCAGTGTCAAGATCAGTGTTTCTCAACAGTCTTTTTCACTATGCCCCACCCCCAGAGCCTTTTAGACATTATTTTCCTAGTCATCCCCTCCCCCTGGGAAACTGTCTTTTGCCAAACTTAGAAAGCCAGTATGTCTTCAAATATTTTTCAGTACCACACTCTTTTTCCTTTCTTTCTATGATTCTGATGACACAAATGCCAGGTCTTTTTTGTCATCCTTGTGTTCTGAGTTTGTTAATTTTTCTACAACCATTCTTCTCCTTGTTTGAAGGCTGGATAATTTCTACTGAAGTATCCTCCAGTTCGTTCTCTTTTTCATCTCCATCCTGCCACTGGATCTTTGTAGACAGTTTTAAATTTTGGTTATTTTATTTTTCAGTTATACAGTTTCCATTTGGGTCTTACTTATAGCTTTTATTATGTTGCTTATACTTTCGATTATAACTTTTGTTTCAGGAGTTTTCATAATTGCTTGTTCAAGTATTTTTAAATAGCTGCTTAAAATATTTTCAGGACAACTTCGACGTTTGTGCCATCTCAGAGTTGCTGTGTTATTTTCACATAAAGTGAGATTTTCATGGTTCTTCGTAAGCTGAATAACTGCAGATTGGATCCTGGACATTTTGTGTACAACATTATGAGACCCTAGGTCTTATTTAAGTACCAAAGAGAATGCTGATATTTTTGTTTTGGTAGAAATTTGAGTTGGTTAGGTTGAAGATGTAAGTTCCAAACCACCTTCTTTGGGCTGTGGTTCCAATGTCACTTCAATCTGGAAAGTCTTGGCAGTGCTTTATATTTACTTAGTTCTAGCAATCTTAATAATTCAATAGAGTATGTATTATGATATTCATTTTCCAGGTAAAAAGATAGGTTTTAATTCAGTCTATTACGAGCTGTGTGATACTGGACAAGACACTCTTTGAGCCTTGATTTCCTCATCTGTAAAACGGGGTTGATAATCCCTAGATCTGAATCGAGGACCGAATAAAATACCACATGTAGCATACCAAGCATACTGCAAACCTTAAAGAAACCTGGCTGGTAGTCTCATTAAAGCAAGAAATCAGCTTTGGTGAGGAAAAGTAACATATAATCAAATATATACATTTTAAGTTACAGAAGATACCTTTTGGGAATTGTATACACTGTGTAACCACCACCCCAATCAAGATATTATGGAACATTTCCATTACAGCAGAAAGCGCCCACCAGCCCCTTCTCAGTCAACCCTCTACCTATTTTCAACCCCAGGAACCCACTGATCTGACTTCTACATAGTAGCTAAGTTTTGTCTCTTCTAGAACTCTATAGTAACAAAATCATGCAGTCTATACATTTTTCATCAGGCTATTTTCACTCAGCACAATGTATTGCAGGTTCATCTGTATTAACAGTTTGCTCCTGCTTATTGCTGACTGGTATTCCACTGGGTCACCCTAGTGGCTCCGTGGTAAAGACTCTGCCTGCAATGTGGCTTCCCAGGGGGCTCAGACGGTAAAGAATCTGCCTGCAATGCAGGAGACCCAGGTTTGATCCCTGGGTTGGGAAGATCCCCTGGAGAAGGGAATGGCAACCCACTCCTGTATTCTTGCCTAGAGAATTCCGTGGACAAACAAGCCTGGTGGGCTATAGTCCATGGGGTCTCAAAGAGTCAGACATGACTGAGCAACTAACACACACGTGCAAGTATTCCATTATTTCATTGGGAGTTTTTCTATTATTGATTTAAAAGGTTCTTAGAAATTCCAAATTCAAGCCCTTTGTTAGATAATGTATCGTGACTATCTTTTCGTTTTCTTAATGATACCTTTCAAAGAACATGGAGCTTTAATTCTTATAAAGTTCAATTAATCTTTTCTCTTTTATTATTATTTTTGTGACATTTCTCAAAAAATTTGCTAACACCTAGGAGACAAAGATTTTCTTCTCTGTCTTCTTCTAGAAGTTGTATAACTATATCTCAATGTTTCCATCTATGATCCATTTTGAATTTACAGTTTTGTGTATGATGTAAGTAGGGGTTGAGATTCTTTGTCTTCCTATACTGATATCTGTTTTTTTGGGGCACCATTTGTTGAAAAAAGAACTATCCTTTCTCATGGAATTATCTTGGTATCATAGTGAAAATCAACTGACCATATGTAATATGTGTAGGTTTATTCTTAGATGCTATTCTGTTTCATTTATCTATATGTCTATCTCTATACCAACACTCCATTTATTTTATTGCTTTAGCTTTATAATAAAGCTTGAAATAAGGTAGCATAAGTCCTCTAACTTTGTTCTTAGAGAATTGTTTTGGCTATTGTAGATTCTTTGTATTTCCATATGAATTTTAGAATCAGCTTTAGAACATGGTTACTGAGAGAAATGAAACTCATGGGGCTAGCATCACAATTGCCCAGGCTCCCTGTCTAGGGACAATTGATGGATTTGATTTCCTAGTAAGTTGTTGAGGACTTCATGTCTATGTTCAGTTTTATATTTTTTAATGTCTTCATCTACTTTTGGTATCAGAGTAATGCTGTTCTCATAAAATGAGTTGGGAAGTGTTCTGTCCTATTTTATTCTCTGGAACAGTTTATGGAGAATTGATAAAATTTCTGAAAATAGAAGAATTTACCAGTGACATCATCTGGATATGTAGTATCCTTTGTGGGAAGATTAACCTGGTAATGACATTTCAAAATACAGATAAATTTTAAAATACGAACAGATAAATTTTAAAATTAAAAATTTTTTAATTTAAAATAAATTTTAAAATTCGTATCATCTGTTCTTATTGAGTGAGCTTTTTATTTTTTTTCTTTCAGGGATTTGTCCATTTTATCTAAATTATCAAACTTATTGGCATAGGTTGTTCTTAATAGTCCCTTAGCATTTTAATGTCTATAGAATCTATAATGATGCCCCCCTCTTTTATTCTTGATAACCTGTAATTTATAGTGTCTTCTCTCTTTTCCTAGATAACTCTGCCTAGAGCTTTTAATTTTATTGTTCCTTTAAAAGAACCATCTTTTGATTTCATTGATTTTTTCCTACTATTTTAAATTTTTTCAACGTGATTAGTTTTCACTCTATATTCTTTCTTTCCAACTGCTTGTTTTGAGTTTAATTTGTCCTTCTTTTCCTAATTTCTTCAAGTGAACACTTAGATCTTATTTTGAGACCTCCTTTGTTTTCTCATATAAGCATTTAATGGTAAGGAAATATCTCAAAGCACTGCTTTCATTGCATCTCATAAATTTGACGTTAACATTTTAATTACAAACATTTTCTAATTTCTCTTGTGACATCTTGTGACTCACATTTTGTTTAGAAGCATGTAGTTTAACTTCCAATTACTTGGGTTTTAAAAAAATCCTCTTTGTTATTGATTTCTAGTTTAATTTCTTTGGGGGCAGAGAAAATATTTTGTCATGACTTCAATCATTTAAACTTTGTTGAGGTTGTTTTATGGTTCATTTTGGTGAATATTCTATGTGCATATAAATAGAAGACAAGTGTTCTAGTTATTGGGTGGAATGTTCTAGAAATGTCAAATAGGTTAAATATATTGATAGAGTTGTCATTCAGGTCTTCTATATCAATAGATCCCACATTTGTCTGCACTCTGTTGAAATCACCTTTGTAAATTCCAAAAGTATTAATGCCAGTATCCCACCCTAAAGACTAAAATTTTAATAAGGGTGGGATGTATCATTTAATCACTCTTCTTTGAAGTCATTAGGAGATTTCCGGGTGAGTCTAATGTGAAGGTAAGCTTTAAACCCGGGATCTGTATCCTTACAGATTTTCTGTACATTTGTTTTACAAATGATACAGAGGGAAGTCGTGAACTTTTCAACTACTGTTGTGGGATAGTTTCTTATTTCAGTTCTATAAGCTTTTGCTTCAGTGCCATTTTGTAGCTGTTAGGATTTTGTATCTTTTTAATGAACTGATCCCTTTATCTTGTTTTAATATCAATCTCCCTGGTACTAGTGAAGGTAGACATAAAAAAAATCTTTCTGACCACTAAGTTTTCCTCTTTTGTGAGTTGCCTGTTTATGTTATTGGAATATATTTTTTATCTTTGTTGGGATTCTTTATATTTTCAGAACTTTATTCTTTTAGTCTGTGGCTTGCTTTTAACTTTATTTAAAATGTCTTCTCATCTGTGCATGAAACAATCAAAATTTAAAATCTTTTCCTATGAATGGTACTGTTTTGTCTGGTGTAATAAATTCCTCCTTATGGTGATGTCATAAAGATACCTGTTTTTTCCTAAAAGTTCAGAATGCATATTTACTTCACACTGCATATTTGTAATTTGATTTTATTTGTGGTGTGAAATCAGGATCTAATCTCATATTTTTATATGAATAGCCAGTTTAACTAAAACCACCATAATCTATCTTTTCTATAGCATATTAACAAAGTTATTGTGCCAATTTTACTACGAAGAAGAGAAAACAATAGTTTTTCCCACAACTTCACTAACTTTTCTTACCAAACACCTTTATTGGATACCAACTTCCAGGTACAGGCACTTGCCTTTCTAACTTTCTTTATGTCTGTCTTTGTGTTAACACTGCATTTTAAAAAGTTGCTTTTAAAATAGAATTTCAATATGATCTAGGAATTCCACTTGTGGTTATATACTCAAAAGAACTGAAAGCAGAGTATCAAATAGATATTTGCATATATCACATTCATAGCAGCATTCATAATAGCTAAAAGTTAAAAACAACTCAAGTGTCCACTGAAGGATGAATGGATAAAATGTGGTATACACATACAATGGACCAATATTCAACCTTAAAGAAGAAGAAATTCTAACACAAGTACAACATGGATGAACTTTCAGAATGTTATGCTAAGCAAAATAGGTCACAAAAGGCAAATACTGTACGATTCCACTTAAATAAGGTGCCTAAAATAGTCAAATTGATAGAAACAGAAAGAGTGATGGATGCTAGGGGCTGGTAGTAGCGGTAAAGTGGGGAGTTGTTGTTTAATGGGTATAGAGTCTCAGTTTTGAAAGATGAATAGAGTTCTGGGGATTGGTTGCATAATGAGAATGTACTTAACACTACTGAACTGTACACTTTAAAACAGTTATTTATCTGGTAAATCTTTTACGTATGTTTTACCCTATTTAAAACCAAAAGAAAAAAAACACCCCCCAAACCTGTTCATCTAGGGGGAAAAAATCTGCTTTTAAAAAGTTCTCTTAGTCTTCAGTGTTCTGCAGTTTCACCACAATGTATCCAGGTATTGAATTCCTGCTCAAGAATAAGTGCTTCTTGAATCTAACTCAATCACTCCATAACCCTGAAAAATTCTTAGTTATTATTCTTTGAATGCTGCCCACACCCATCCTCTCTAGCCTCTCATTTTGACACTATTAGACTTATGTTGAACCTTTCTTATTTCCCATTTACTTAGTTCCTGCATTGAAGTCTAGTAAATTTTCCTTATGGTGTCCATCTTAGTTCCAGTGGAAGGTATAGTTCTCAAACACTGAATGGAAAACTTTTAAAAATATATTCCTTAAAGGAAGTAAGGCTCAAGGTCAGCAAACTGTGCTAGAAGTAAAAAGTCAAGAAACCAAGTAGATGTAAGCCTCATCTCTACAACTCAGGAGACAGTGTCAATGCCAAAACAATAAAAAATGTTAAAAACAAGCAGGATATGGTTTTTAGTGTATGGGAACTCAAAACAGAATTTGTATCCGACTGTTGTGTGACAACTGTATAAATCTTCATTATGTTTAATTGGTTCATAGTGCTTTTCAGGCCTACTATATCCTTCTACTTTCTATCTATTCATTGTTAACTTTTGAGAGTTTGTTATTGGAACTCCAACCAAAAATTTTAATTCATCTACTTAAAAAAATCATTGTAACATATAGTGGAACTATATGTAACTTTGTTCTGTATTTTCCCAGTGTCCTGTAAATGTGTTATCATACTTTCATTCATAACTTAAGAAAAAATTAAAAATTACATAATAAACACATTTGAATTGGAAAAACAAATAACAACGACAAAACAGGATGCGGCTTTGTGTCACGTGCTAGGTATGTGTGATTGGTATCAAGTCGGTAACATTACATACCAAAGGCTTGCACACAGCATTTCACACTGTGTCCATGACCTTGAGCAGGACATTAATTTACTCTTAAGCTTCTTTCTGTGGGTTGCTGGGAGGATCAAATATTATTAAAGTGAGCAAAAGTGCTCTATACCAAAGTAGTATTAAGGTATTTTCTCAATTCTAAAATATTATTAAGTGGTCGGGCCCACTAATGGATTTTAAATAAGGGGAAGATACGAAGATGCCCATTAGTGTTACACTTAAAAGCTTTCCGATTTGGGAAATTAAAAATATGGCAAAGTCTGCTTTTAGAATTGAAAACCACCGTACTTTCTCTGCTATTATGTCCACACATGCCCTTGTCTTAAATTTGAAGGATTTCTCTCTCTGGCCCAGGGTTCAGTTTTACCAACCTCCTTCCTGACAGCTGTCAGAATTTTCCACAGATTTCTCGACCCCATTTTTAGGGAACTGCTGAGACTTGAGAAGCTGCCTCTACCGGACTGGCTTTCACACGCTTAGCTTAGCTAATGTACTGTCACTGGCTGTTGCTTTTCCTGGATCCGCCTTAAGCGATCTCAACTCTGATTGGATATCACTGTCCTTTTGTTATGGCAAAAGGTGGATCCTGCGGCTTTGGGATAGGACGATTGGGGCGTCGGGAAGCTAATGCGCAGGCGTGTTTTCTTGAGTGGTGATTGGCTGGCAACAGGCCAGGCAGGGGCGGGACTCCTGTCTCGGCGCACGCTCTGTGGGCGGAGAGGGCGGGGCTGCCGCTGCCAGTTGGTCCAAGTGTCCAGGCCTGAGGCGTCCTACTGAACCCTCCCCCTGCCGGCGCCTCAGAAGGCAGGTGAGGGTAGTCGTGGACCGCGAAGGGCCCGGCCTCGGGCGGCTGGAATTGCGGCCTCGATACTGCTGAGAGCCTCTGGAGGGTGGGGAGGGCTGGACGCCGGCCGGCGCATCGCGGACCCGGGAAGAGCGCCTGGGCATTTGGTGAGCGGCTGAGGCCTGGCTCCCCGGAGAACTCCTGCGCAACCTCTCTGTCTCAGCCTTTCAGTATTGGGCACTGAGGTTCCTTTGTGGAGGGTCGCCGGCGATCCTTCGCGCGGACTTCCTGTCGCCTTGTCCCCGCCGCTCCGGAGTCTAAGGACTCTGTCCAGCCCTGAAATGGGACTGTGGGAGGGGGTGTTCGGGTGGGATGGGACCTGGCACGCCTGGACCTGCTGAGAACTCGGAGATGGGGGGAGAGGACGCCCAGGCGGGGAGGGAGGCAAGTGAGCGGTAAAACCAGGATTGGCGGCATCTTTTCAGGCTCTGAAAGTAGACCTCGGGTTAGTTTCTCACTGAGCATCTCTCAAGGTCCTGATGGACACATCTAGGGGAGTTAGGATTGGACGAGTAACAAGAGACATCCCTGAAAGACAGGGTTTTGTTGTTTAATGTATCGATCCTGGTACTATGACGTAATAATATTAAGGACAGATGCTATGTTTGCAACGCTGAATCTGTACCTGAGAATCCAAAGCTTCGCTTTTATATTCTGTGCCTCTTCTCATTGATTAAAGCCAGTATAGCTAGCTACTCTGGGGATCTCGTTTATGAGCAAATCCTTGTTTGGGCAATCAGTCCCTTAATTTTGCGGAATTTAAAATTGGATTTATTTAACCAGAACAAGTCAGAATTTGAAGGTACCTGAAAAAACTTTGTTGAAAGTCGATGCATCTTATGAAACTTACATTTAGGTTTTTAGATAGCAGAAATAGCAAGAAAATTTGACATCAAGGGCTGTAAAATGTTTTGCAAATTTAGATTAAGGTCATATTAAAGTCCCTTCTGTTGTGTAATGCAGGGATTTTATAGTTAGATATGAGTTCAAATTCTTGATACAGACTTTGGCTGTGAAATCTAAGACAAAATACATAGTGTTTCTGAGATTGTGTCCACATTTATAAATTGCCATGTCCTGTTGATTTCATGAGCTAATAATACGTGTAAAACATTTAGTATATTAAAGCACAGTGACTTTTAATAGTCTTACTAGTTCATTAATAATTGGATCATAGATGATGAAAATCAGTTTTAGATGAAGAAAAGTGAGTGGTTGCGGATATCAGAGAAAAGTCTCAAAAGTTCAGGTCTCAGATGTGAGCATACCAGTGGTGATGTGGGAAAAACTAGACTGGGACATTGACTATATGTAGTCTTGGCTCTGTGTAACTACTTCTATGATCTTGGGTAAGCCATTATCATTTTGGCCTTGGCTTATTTGTAAAAACGAGGCAGTTGGGCCATCTGATTTTTTTTCTAAAATTCTTTTTGTGACTTGTATTAGAGCTAAAAGGTAGAGAAGATACAGTTCAGTTGCTCAGTGGCGTCCGACTCTTTGTGACTCCCATGGACTGCAGCATGGCAGGCCTCCCTGTCCATCACCAGCTCCCAGAGCTTGCTCAAACTCATGTCCATCAAGTTGGTGATGCCATCCAAGCTTCTCATCCTCTGTCATCCCTTTTTCCTCCTGCCTTCAATCTTTCCCAGCATCAGGGTCTTTTCAAATGAGTCAGTTCTTTGCATCAAGTGGCCAAAGTATTGGAGTTTCAGCTTCAGCATCAGTCCTTCCAGTGAATATTTAAGACTGATTTCCTTTAGGATAGACTGGTTGGATCTTACAGTCCAGTGGACTCTCAAGAGTCTTCTCCAACACCACAATTAAAAAACACCAGTTCTTCAATGCTCAGCTTTCTTTATAGTCAAACTCTCACATCCATACATGACTGCTGCAAAAATCAAAGCTTTGACAAGATGGACCTTTGTCGGCAAAGTAATGTCTCTGCTTTTTAATATGCTGGCTGGGTTTATCATAGCTTTTCTTCCAAGGAGTAAGCGTCTTTTAATTTCATGGCTGCAGTCAACATCTGCAGTGATTTTGGAGCCCAGGAAAATAAAATCTGACACTGTTTCCACTGTTTCCCCATCTATTTCCCACAAAGTGATGGGGCCAGATGCCTTGATCATAGTTCTTTGAATGTTGAGTTTTAAGCCAGGTTTTTCACTCTCCTCTTTCACTTTCATCAAGAGCCTCTTTAGTTCCTCTTCACTTTCTGCCATAAGGG